CTAGATTTCCAGGGTCGACTTTTGCTGTAGGTCGGAACTTATATAAAGTACCAATCGCTCACCTGCGCTAACACATTGGTGACATCATAATCTAAGGACATAAAAACATCTGACGGACTTACCCTCAGGAGCCATGATGAAGGGCAAAAAGTTCCCAAACAAACGCCAACAAAAACGACAGACAGCGAATGCAACATAATCCAACTCACGTCATCTGCGTACGGTGCTACTCCTTCGTTACACCCCTGAAATGGCTAGCACAGGAACTAGCTTCGGAAACCACGAAATGCCGTAGGTGGCGGACATCGTAAACGAAATAAAAAGACCACAGGAGGCGCCATTGAGTGCATGTTTGCAGCTCACAGGAGGAGCCATCATGGACATGTGGTTCCTACGACTTTAACCCAGAACTCATGCGGACGCGCTAACCGCTAAACTATGAAACCGCTAACGGACGGCGATGTGTTCCACCTAAAGCAGAGCTTCTCACTGCTTCAACAATTCAGTCCGAGTCTTGGTGGAGTCTTTGGGTAAAAGTGCAGCTCCAGATGAGACTGTTTGACGCGGCGTCTGTTTTTCTTGAGGTGACGCCAGGTCTGACAGTGATGTTTGTAAAACAACAGCCACAGGTTAATAAAGTGTTCTTTCTGCCCGGGCCTGTGATGGGCTTTTTAGCACATCATCGGAACCAGCTGCTGAGCGTAACCATGGCAACCCATGATCGGGCTGAACCCAGCACTGTAGCTTTTTTTTTTAATTTTTTTTTTTTAACTTTTTTATTAAAAAACAAACAAACAAAGAAAACCAGGTGGCGTAACAGAGTAATTCAGTGATGTAAATGACAGCGGGGTGTTAACAGTCTCTGACTTCTCATCTATACCATCAACATTTAATGCTTCTCTACGTACAGTACACACACACACACACACGGTGTAGGCGATTAAATGTTATGTCTTGCAAAACGTACGAGGGCGTCCGGAGATTACTGCAGTAAAATCTTTCAAATAAATCACCTTTGGAGATAATTACATCACATCCTGGCTGTTAAGCCTCTGACATTTCCTGTAATCTTTAATGTGGGAATAATGAAAGGCTAACATTAAGCTCAACTCGCTCGCACCCAGCTGATAATTGACTAAATGGGTGATTAGAATTTTCGCTGGATCCGCCCGAGTCCCAGGGACACGTGTGTGACCTACACGCCCCGATGACTCCTCTCATATCAGGAAACGCGGCCTTACACCTGAGCGAGTGAAGCTATAGGAGCCGGGGCTGCTGTCGCCCCCTCCCCCCCCCTCCCCCCTCCCAAAGCCCCCGCCCCCTGCTGTCCTTCCAGCGCTGCAGGATCGATCGCTCCTGGAGAAACCCAACCACTGCAGCTCCTCCAATTACTGCAGATAGGTCACATCTTTCTGTCACAACAGGCGCCAGAGCCGCACGGTGCCTTCAGGGGCCGGGGCAGACAGAGAGAGAGAGCGGATGTGGAAAAGAGAGGCAGAGAAAGGGCAAGAAAGGAGGTGATGACAAGCAAGTGCGCCGCTGAAACCTTCCGTGTTCAACTTCTGCCAAGACGGATCCAGTACTTGGAGCGGCGTGTGCATTATTAATATTGACCACTTACAGCGAGATAAAGAAGCGTTTACTCACCAACTGATGAGTCTGAATTAATCATAGAGCTGAACTCAAAGGCAGAAAGATCGGTGCTTCATGACAATACTGGTCATTTTGGCTTAAATGACAGATGTGTTCAGAGAGCAGGAGGTCATGACCTCTGTCATTATCCACGCCGTTATCTGATTGGCCGGTGGGTTAGCAGTTTAGTTTTCGTTCTCATTTCGAAAACAGGGATAATTTTACGATAAACTCGAACAAGAAAAATGAGGGGGAGAAATGGTTTAGAGTTTAGAGAAGAGAATTGAAGCCACGGACAAAAGAAGACCGTGTTGATACAGAGTCGGTGGTGAATTGTGGGAAAAAAGTGGTAGTTTTTATTATTTATCAGTTTTTATTATTTATTAGGAATGAAAGCTGAGCTACATGTGTCAGTGTTTTTATCTGGTGAAGCTATAACCAGCGGCGTGGGTTAGCCTAACGGGGTATAGCGTCGGTGGTTCTCAAACTTTTTTTGGTCATTTCCCACTTTGACCACATGGGGGTTTTCAAGCCTAGCCTGCCTCAGTTGCTGCAACAAAAATTTTGACAAATTGTTTTTCAAATTTATTGAACTAACACCAGGTATCGGTGTGGTCGTAGTAAAGCCGTTAGCATGCAGGCCTTGTAAGCGTAAATTCTGGATTTGATACCCAGGCGAACCACATATCGCTGCTGGCGCCTCCGGTGGTAGCAGGTGTCAGTTGCACTGACTAACACTGTAAATTTCTCCATTGTGGGACGAATAAGGAGTTAAATTATTTTTAGCTCCTTATTTCATCCTCCGACGAAGGTGCAGGAGACATGGGTTTGAATCCCGTTCTCTCACACAACAGTAAGGTTTGGCCCAGTGAACATTTCCTCTGGATGGTCATCAGTGGGGCCCAGACCACACTTTGAGAATCAGTGGGCCAGAGAAGCCATGATGTCACACGACACTGGCTCAAAACATACAGTAAATCCACAGGAACTCTGTGAACGGAACGGCCAATCAGAGACCAGATCTTAATCCTGTTGATATAAAAGGGGGGTGGGGGGTGTGGAGGAGGGTGTCAATCACCCGTCGTGGTCAGGCGGACAGGCCGTCGTTGTCAGCCTACGTTGGAGCCACAGCCGGCTGCACAGTCTGATCCTGTCAGAAAGTCTGTGTCTGCACCCACTCCACTGTGACAGAACGGAGGCTGAACACTGTCCAAGCTGTCCGTTACAGTCTGGAGATTGTGCTCAGTCCTGGGGGGTCGGGGG